GGCCGCGGGTCTCTGCGGTCCCTGCGTCCCTCTCAAGTGAACCCCTGGCGCCCCCGTGGGTGTCAGAGCCGCACTGGGCCCCACAGGGGTTTGCTTTTTCAAAACCAAGGTTTCAAAACCTTGCTTCCGAGGCGCCTCTGGCTGGACTCCACTGCAACCTTTCAGTTCGTGGCCGAGCGTGTGCGCCATTTGCAGGCTGTGTTCTGGGCGTGGCTAGGTGCCGTGTGGTTGGCCTGCGCCATGGCGCCACCACGTGCATCGGACTGGAACTGCGTCCCACGTGGTTTCTGACGGTTCAGTTTTCCTGGGCCCTGTTTTTCCTTAGGACACTTGTCCGTGGATTTGCAGCCACGTGGATAATGCAGGTGACCTCTGGGATCCCGCCCTTTATCTCCCGTGTGTTTTCCACATTTTATTTCCTGTGTTGCTGCTGGCCATGTACGCGGGGCGCCATGCACACCTTCACCCGTTTCCCCACGGGCAGTTCGTTAACACTGTTTCCACTCTCCGAGTTCTGAACCGTCCTAACTACGCTGTTCCGCGTGCTTCCTCCCACAACCACACGAACTCTCTGCCCGGAGCCGCGCCTCCAAGCATTCGCGTAGCTGTCATCAATTCATGGACATTCTTCGCTTAATTGCATCTTCAAAGACCCTTTTTGCAAAAATAAACCTGAGACTCAGATTTCAGGGAGACGTGAGCTTGCTGGGGACATCGTTTACCCCACGACAAATGTGTCTTTGCGTCCCCTACAAGTCTTACCACGGCAGCAGAAAGATGGATGGACAAGCAGCCCCGCCCCCAGTCTCCAAGGCTTTGCACACCCGGGGCGAGAAGCCCCACCCTGGAGTTCCCCTTGGCCACCAGGCCCCTTCCCGCACTTGCCTTGCAAGCTCTGAGTTGGGCTTCTCCCCGAAGGGACCCCAAATCCTCCACCATGTCTCCAAGTAGCTTTACAAAGTTCGGAAAATTTTGCTTTGTGGCCGTGCGCCGGCTCCTAGGAACCCGCGGGCCCGCGTGCTGGGCGCCTCAGGGCGTGGTTCCTCTCTTTCCAGGCCGCGCGGGTGTGGAGGTGAGGCAGGGCGCCGGCCCCCAAAGGTCTCTTTCTGTGGCACTGAGGCCACTTGGCGGGGAAGTCCTCACGGTGGGGTCCGGCGCTAGGGGCCCTCAGCGGGGACTGACCCGGGACGGACAACGGGGACCCCAGAGACCAGCTGCGTCGAAGCACTTATTTCTTGATGCCTGGGGGGCTCCGGGCGCTCGGGGGGCGACATCTCTGCGTCCCCACGTTCTCCTCCGCCGGAGCAACCACGGGTTTCAGGACGCGCCAGGTCACTGCGTTCCGCTCCGCGGGGTACACGGCGCTGGGCCGAGACCAGGAGCCCCGGGCATGGGGACGGAGTCTGTCCTGTCCTTTGGCAGGGCCTCAGCCCTTGCGACACGGCGAGACAGACACCAGATCCCCGCGGACGGTTAGGTGCAGGGCGCGGGCTGGAGGCGCCAAGTGCTCCTGCGCGTCCCGGTGCGCTCTCGGGCCGGCCACATGTGCCAACCTTGGGGGCGCTGAGGGACATCCGCGTGGGGAGAGGCCAGCCGCGCCGGCCTTGGAGTCTTCACACACTGTCCCCGCTCTCCGGAGACCTGAGGCCGCTGGCCCCCTCGCTTTTCTCTGATGATCTTCCCAGGGCGGTTTGGGGAGCTTCGTAGCCAGGACCGCAGGGGACCCGACCCCTTCGCCGGCGCGGCAGCCGCCCAAGCGAGGCCTCCCTGTGGGTACGTCCTCCGCTGCCGCGGGGGGGCTCAGAACACGCTCTCCTGCCTCTGGAGAAAGGCCCTGCCCGCCGCCTCCAGGCAGTCCGCCTGCGCGCTGGAACCGGAGCGCGCAGACAGCGTGCGCGCCGAGAAGAGGCTTTCGCGGCGCGTGTCCTGGCTGTCGGCGCGCGCGCCGCGGTGGCCCAGGTAGGCGCGCAGCCGCATCTGGAACTCCTTGGAGGCGAAGTAGTAGACGAAGGGGTCCAGGCAGTTGTTGAGGCAGCTGAGACACAGCGTCAGCTTGTACACGTGGTAGAAGCTGCGGTCCAGGAACAGGCGGCTGACCATGTGCAGCAGCAAGACGAAGTTGTTGGGCGCGAAGCAGGTGACGAAGGCCAGCAGGACCACGGCCGCCAGGCACACGGAGCGCCGCTTCTGGCCCTGCCCGTAGCCGTCGGCCGTTTGCAGCAGCTTGCGGATGGTGGCCGTGTAGCAGACCACGGTCACCACGAAGGGGATGAGGAAGAGGACGATGAAGAGCGTGAAGAGGAACACGGCCCAGGTGGCCACGCTGGGCAGCATGGTCCACTTGAGCACGTCGAAGCAGGTGACGATGCCCAGCGCCTCCACCCTGTAGGTGAGGTCGGTGCGCGCCAGCGGGGCCAGCGCGGCCAGGAGCAGCAGCCAGAGGCCGGCGCAGGTGGCCACGGCGTAGCGGCGGCGGCGCCAGCGCGCGGCGGCCAGCGGGTAGACGACGCCCAGGAAGCGGTCGACGCTGATGCAGGTCATGGTGAGGATGCTGGAGTACATGTTGGCGTAGAAGGCCAGCGTGACCAGGTTGCAGAGCGCCACGCCGAAGACCCAGTGGTGCCGGTTGCAGTGGTAGTGGATCTGGAAGGGCAGCACCAGGGCCAGCGCCAGGTCGGTGAGGCTCAGGTTGATCATGAAGATGACGGACGGCGAGCGCGGCCCGATGTGGCGGCACAGCACCCACAGCGAGAAGAGGTTGCCCGGGATGCTGACCAGCGCCACCAGCGAGTACACCACCGGCAGCACCACGGCGAGGCTCGGGCTGCGCAGCATCTGCAGCGTGGCGTTGTCCGGCTTGGACAGGTAGCGCTCCATGGTGCGCGCGCAGGGCGCTGGCTCAGCGTCGGGCCTGGGCGGAGAGCAGGGAGGGGCCGTGAGGCGGGGAGGGAGGGGGGCCATGGTAAGGGGGAAGGAGGGGCCATGACCCGGGGAGGGAGGGAGGGGCCATGACACAGGGGAGGGAGGGGCCATGTCCCAGGGGAGGGAGGAAGGGGCCATGATAAGGGGGAAGGAGGGGCCATAACCCAGGGGAAGGAGGGAGGGGCCATGATAACGGGGAAGGAGGGGCCATGACCCAGGGGAGGGAGGGAGGGGCC